CTCCTGTTGTTATTATTATTATTGATACTAAATTTCTTAGTGTAACATGTATTACACCGTATTCTGAGTGACTAGATCACTTTAATTATAAGCACTTTGTGCGTTTTTACATACCCAACGACCGTGATTATTGGAAGTTTTTGTATAGGCATGTAACGATTATTTTTTTTTATAAATGTAGTTTTTTACAAAAACAAACACAAAAAAAAACCCAAAACAGAAAAGCAAAACAGACGAGCATATTCAAATTATCACATATATATATATAGAGTATATATATATATATACACTATTTTCCATTCTTTACCATCACATGTTACAGACAAGTAGTAAAACGTAATCCCATCCTATTGTAACATGATGTATTGTATTATATTATGTGTATATTCTATTTAAATGTAATTACACATTACATCTACTATTCAGGCGAGACAAAGTCGGTATTTAGGTGAGATGAATATAAATTGATGAAACGATTAATGTGACTCAAATAATTTTATTACAGTCAAATTAAATAAGTATCATAATATTCGTGTTTTAAAATTTAATTCATTTTGAAATTCATATTCAGAGTTTGTAACAATTTCATAAAACTAACGAAATACCTTATTCACTTCAACTTGAAATAAAATTATTTTACTACTTTCAGCATTGTATTTGTTTTGATTGTATTGTTGGCAACAAGATACCATACTATTGGATGTTTCCAGCCCGAATGTTAGTTAGGGATGGGCCATTAAAAACTCTGCGACATGGCAGAATTAAACAAAAAATCTGGAAAATAATCCTACCGGAATAAATAATAGAAGACAAACATCTGCACGCCTATATCTTTTCTTAGGGTATTGTAATTCCTCACTGAAAAGGTATTCGATAAGTGACATTTAATGTTAAACAAACCGACGTAAATCATTATATTCATACAAACTTCAGGTCAGCACCTTAGGCAAAGTGAATTCAACACATGAATTATGGTGTCTATTCATACATGCCAAAATACTGAGCAGACAGGACCCTTGATGGTGAACAATAAGCACGTCGCTACTCAAACAACCCCTTTTGTCTGCATCTTGCGGTGCGTGACTTTGAATTGATGCAAGAAATTCGACCTAACTGTTTGAATTGTAGGTCACAAACGTTTTCTAAATACCATGGTTTCACTGTAGCGAGTGGTCTTGTTCTATGTGAGTTATAATTAGCAACCTGAATGAACTGCATGCGACATGAGCATTATATCGGGTTTTAGGCCACGTCTTGTTTCAGTAGGCGACGTTTTACAACGTTTCGTTTAGTAAGACTCGTTAAATACCCAGAAGGTCAGCCCCGAGATAACCCTTGTTCGCGTTAAAAACATAAGTCTAAAAATAATCCAACGAATCATCAATCATCAATCATCGTGGCGCCAATATGACGTTGAACGTAGACAATTTTGAATTTACAAAAGTAAAAGGAAACGTTGCCTTTTTCGGGACAATATTTAAATTTAATAATATGTATTTCATAATTGTAAACTGTACCGTGACTATGAGTGTTTTTATCCATATATTACTTCAAGTAATGACATTGATGTTTAAATCATCTTTGACTAGCAAGTAGCTCTTGGTTCCAATTAAATAGAGCATATTAGGGATGCTAAAACAATTCCTTTTCGGATGAACATTTTTGAGATTGCATAATAACATCTTTATCAGCCATGGTTCGTTTATTCTGCAACCAGTACTACTTGGCAGATAGCCAACGTATGTTTAAGTGCGCCCTCTCCGGACAATGCATATTTTCTTGTCCAGTAAAATTGCTCGTTATAGCTGCACCACGGACACAATTATACTCTACAAGATTGTTTCCTAGCCAGAGATTGAGCTGACATCTTAGAACATGTTACTTGAGAGATAACAATCCAACTAATTATTTCAATTTGTCTCTCAATGTTTCACTATACTACACTGAAGAAACACAGCCTTCTTTTACGGCCATCGTGAAATGCGCGGAAATATATGTACATAGTTTTTCAATCTTGGCACATTTGAAAACATAGGAACTGTTTTACAGTATGTCTGAAAAAAAATTGAGGAATTAAAACATGAACATGGTTTAGGCGGAGCTCCGAAATAATGGACGCATGGAATCGGACTATGATTCGAAAACGTCACATGAATGTGTAATACCGATACAAATGTTAGAACGCAATTTGTATTTCATTTTAGTGATGACATTTGATAATATTGCTGTCATGTGATGCGTTATTGCAGGAATTTGTCCTGGAAGTGGAATTTCTGATCTGTCCCATCAAATAGGTTGTCACTCAGATGCAGCACAGGAACATACCACACTATATAATAGCAATATCAGGATATAGATAAACAGACCACTATATTTTGTCTAAATTTGTTTGCTAGCTTTATTACATTTAACCCTCACCCATGTACTTTTACATTATTATTATTGTTATTGACTTGACCAAGTAAGGTTTTAATTACGTCAAGGTTTGGCTGGTTTCTGCCATAAGAGTCATGTCGCACCAAGCCACAACAGGCCGGTAACTAGTAATGGAATCGGCATTCTGATTGGACCATCTCGTTCTTTGTTCTATTTCCCTTGGTTACCTGACTTCAGTACTTACGCTCGTGGTCGTTCTATATATGAAGCAGGCTTCTCCAATTTTACTCTCAAAAGGTGTTGAAAACGGAAAAAACGGAAAACGAAAATTTGAATGTTTTTAATTTACGTCACATTTGTCACGTGCCTTTGGGCTGGAATCCCTGCCCAGTGGAACAATATGGCGATTACCAGTTACCTGCGTCTTACTTGCCATTCACAAGGGACGTCGGGAACTAGCGACGTCAAGGTTCGATGTATAACGACACAAACCTCCATAGGTGATACACCAAAACAGGTAGTAAGGAAAACAGTATAACTGAATACACTCAGTTTTTAGAAAAAAAAAATAGCATATTTGTTGAGTTCAGCCGGTTACACTCGCTACACCGTGCCAACGACACGAATATTCCGATTTTGTTATTTGAGCCGACATTTTTTGCGAGAAGAGAATAACACCCTCACTGCTTACCTGTATGTAGGCATGACGTGAAATTCCGTTGACCAATTCCACACAAACGTCAGTTTCTGCAATATGAAATGCTGAATTGTTCGACTTACGGACATCCAATTACGAACATCGAGATACAGAAATGACCACGCCCATATTTTTGGAAACACGCCCATTTTTGTGAAACCACGCCCAAATTGCAACTCGATGTTTAATTAACAGTTAACCATACTTAACATGTATTTTTTGTTTTGTTTAACTTTCAAATTTTGTAACTCGAAATTTAATTAACAGTTAACCGAAGTTCGAGTTACTTGTATATCTTTACAACTTCTTGTGGACGTCTAGCTGAAGCCTGGAAAGCACCCCAGACCGCATACAGAGACAGGAGTCGTGAATTTCACAGCAGCTGAAACCATTTACGTGTTTCTAACACAAACACATCCAATGTATTCCATTCAGTCACACATCAAAATGTCATCAACCTTCAATGCGCTAGAAAATGACCGTTTATTGTTTCAATGTTATTCTGACGAGTGTTCTACGAGAATCTGATACATTGTCTGATTCATTCACACATTCACATACAATAATGACGATATCGTCTCAGTGTATTATGCCGCAACGTTGATTCACGTGTACATTCAGTCGCCAAAGGCTGTGTTCGTATACAAATACACGAGTTGCCTTGTAACCTTGTAACATTAATAGATAAATAGAATGTTGTACCTCGAAATAGTATGCTGTACCACTAGTAAATAAAATTATGTATCACTAAAAAGATGTCAAGTAAGACTGAATTTGTTGTAGTGTCTATTGAGTTCAAACCAATTATTTTCCACGATTGTCGCATAAAGCTAGCCCTAATTTAGGGGAAATCAGACTGTCTGACTCACGGGGACCTTCCAAAAATCAGAATTCTAGAGTGAGAAATGGTTAACATCCCTCCACGAGATGATTATTCAAAACAGAAGTTCCTTTTATGGCAGTGAATTATTATGTTATCCTACATACCACCCTTGCCTCAACCAATGGCTGAGTCCATGTACTGTCAGTAAATGATGCTCACAGCTCGGATTGGGTAACCAAAAGGAACTATTGATACCAGTACGCTGCCGTTGGGTCTGTAAGACCAGTGTAAGATGTGATATTTGATTGGTGATATACTGTAAAATTAATCAATATTTCCAAGAGATAAGGAAAATGCCACAATCTAATGTATTTGATATACTATATTTGAAGGTAATGAGTATTCACAAGGCTGTATGACGGTCAAGTGAATACTTGGCATAACACCTAGGACCACTGTTGATCGCAATGTGAAATCTTTGTTTTTTAAAAAATATATCGGCAAATCGATAATTTGAACTTAGAGCTGCCTTGTATTTTTTCATTAGTACCAACATATATATACATTTTGAATTGTTGCAGTGAAGTTTTTATTAGCAGGTGTCAGATATGTAAATGATGTATCGAATGCTCCAACACGTCACCAAATAATAAGCTGAACACCAGTCATAAAAAAACATACTATAGAGATTGAAATAGTCACATTGCTGCTTGAAATGATAAACGCGATTTAACATTAAGCCATATAACGGATCTTTTGTTTGTTAGTTGAGAGCATATGTTTTTTGTGTTAGTAATACAAAAAAAATTGCATGGCAGCCATATACGTTAGTTTAATATGATGCATACGTCGACCAATTCCAGGATAATAAAATCAAACATCTCATAACTCATGCATAGCTGCAAGTGATGAATTTATTGAAGAAAAAAGTAACAAGAATACTAAATAAAGTGCAATGTATATAATCTAGTAACAGAAATCCGTAATCGACATTTCGAAACAAATATTTGCTATCAATATAAGTTATGTGATGTGACAAAAATGTAATAAATGAGTGAATTTAGTAATATTCATAAATGAATACATAAACAAATTGACTAAAACATATGTATCAGATAAGAAATGTATGCAATAATTATGATAAAGTAATGAAACTAATAATTTCAATCCGGTTAGCTTCCTTTGTCAATTAGATATAATATAGCTGGGTCGTCTTCTACGCTAGATTTCACAACTGGAAATAAACAAACAAATAAACATTATGATACATCCATTGGACAAAATTTGTATAAACAATTGGTGCTATATTTCCTCCAGTAGAAATTGTTTCAAAACAAATATTTTACACGCAAAACTTGCACGCATGCGTAGATATGCAGAAAATGATTTGTTCTATAAATCAAATGTATGATAGTCTTACTTTGAAGATTTCTTCAGTGGTCCGTGGCTGATGACAGTACTCTCCGATGTAGAATCGGGATCGTATACAGATCTCTTGTTGGAACCAATACAACCCTAGATTGAACAAACATCAACAATAGATCATTAGCTATATTCACCGTAAGTTCTAACATATCGCGAAAACGATACTATGCAAAGATATGTGTTGGTATGTGACATAAACCTTGTTTTTGAAGACATATTTTCAAGAATACGAGACAAATAACGTACCTCGGAACATCTGGTGCCCACTTCTCCTACTTTACAGACAACTACAGAGCAGTGTATATATATGTCGATATTCTCCCCATTGTCTGGACGGTCATTCACCATATTGTATGCGTCCCATTCGTACTGTTTCTGCCAGTTGGGGTTTGGCGATGTGTGCTCAAACAGTATATTGTCGTCAGGGCAGCTGAGAAATCAAGATAATGTTAATATTATTTTATCCGCTACACGCGACTTGTAATGTAGTACAGTTTCGCGTAAGATATGATGAATGTTGCGTGTACATGTGTAATGCCTTTCAAAAACTTAATGTGCAGAAACGATTTAATCGGTAAGAATCTCCACATTTATCACATTGCATTGTATTAATTTTTATGGTGTAAAATAAACAACGTATTCGCAACATACCCGTTGATAATAATTTCTTCATCGTATTCGCCGCCTTCAGATGGATCAATACTTTCAGTTGCAACACAGTGTTCGACAAAAAGCTGTAACCCCGGGTCAGTTGTTACTACGCTTATCTCAAAGTAAATTAATACACCATCGCATATTTCAATAGGGAATGCACGCGGGTCAAATAATGTTGTGAATGTATCGTTTGTATACAGAGCATTCTCGAAGGTAAACGTTCCAAATCCTTTCAGTACGACGTCCACTTGGCTGTAGAAAAATAATAAGAAAGTTACAATATACACCAATGCACCGCAAGATAAAAACTGTACTACATAATCATAAATGCATAAAAATATGTGTTTATGACGTCATCGAATAGTCGGCGTTTGTCGTTAATACTCAGTGTGGCAATGTGATATATTAAAGTAGCTTGCCACCAATAAAACCTATCGCCATATGTTCTGGTAAAACGTATGGTAACCGAACTACTTTTTTTTCAAAAACATGTATCAAACACCCATGAAAATTTATCATTGGTTACTATGGTGAAACTATTTTGTTATATATGTTATTCATGGTTATTCGAATTATTGGAAAATTCTGACGAATATTTGTTTGTCATGAAATAATGCTTTATCATGGTTACCTATTAAACAAAAGTTATTTTGTACAGGGTAAAAAAAAAAAAAAACTAAATGTTCACGGCTTCTCTCTGAATTAATAATTATAACACTTTTGAAACCAAAAAATATTATAATCGTATATTATATATTTGCTGCTCTCATTTATTTGATGGAATTGCGCGAACGATTCTAAGTAATAAAGTATTACTTGTTGCGATACTGAACGGTACAGAAAACATACCAAGGATTGGCAACAATATGAATAGGCGCAATTGTGTATTCAGTGTCAAAGCAGCATTGCATCTTTGCCATCAGCGTACCACGTTTACTGTATACATAATTCGTGTACAGAATTCTTTGCATTCCATCAACCTCTACTTCCTAGAAAAAAATTACATTTAAATAGTTAAACCTTTGATCATGGTTGCTAACAATACAATTTCTGTTTTACATCATGTGCACACATTTCCGGTCTGTAAAACGATGGAATGAGCAATGGTGGACTTCTTTTTTGCATTTAATCCAAAATAAAAAAAAGCACAATGTGAGAAATTCAGGTGTGAATTTTGTATGGTAATGCACTAGCCATATATATACAACAAACTAAATTTTATATCAATTTAAAGCTGTTTGTAATTTAAAATCTTGAATATTTCTTATCATGTCGGTACAAACATGGCGCCCAAACCATGTCACAAAGAGTGGGTATATTTGAATGAATGGAAATGTAGGTCCTATAAGTCAAATGTCACATCGATGTAGTTAGTGATTCGATAGAAATTCAATGTCAAGCATGTTATACCAATTTTGTGTAAATCCGACAGTTTATACCAGGAGACCACATAATTTTATATAGAAACCAATGTATATACAGAAATATGCTAGACCCTACTTATGAATCCAATATGACGACAAACAGGATGCAAATTTCTGGCAGTTGATGTTACGTAGGACATCGATGATAGAAATCAAATGTACGTTGATCTAGTTGTTCTCTAGTAATTGTCAAACTTATTAGGCCATTTTCGTAATCCAAAATGGCGGGTAAATTCTGTGGTTAATTATATTGAGCTTATTGTATTTTAAAACAATTGACACAAATATACTACAATCCAAATTTTAGGCAAAAATAATTGTTGACGATGTTTTTTGCTTATTTTTTTTACAAATCCGATAAAAACGTGGCAGCCATATTACATAGACCCTGAAAAAGTATGAGACATATAGTACTCGTGACTGTCAATGTGTAGCTGTGCAACGTTCGATCTACTGTGTTGTAAACAATTCTGTTAGCTATAATAGTGTGGCTAGTTGCAGTAATCAAATTAAAAAATGAAACTACAAGACTTAACATTCATTCAATGCTGGCCTAAATCTCTATATTACATTCAACTTCATCGGCTAAACATTGGCATAAGGACATATACGGAAGCCGCCCTCAAATTAATAAGTGGTCGACATGAATATTTTGTGCCAAGCTAATTACGATACACTAAGCGGTTTTTGGAATGCATCTAATAACACCCTAGCAAGACATGGTTCATATAGGCCAACCACTTCTTTACGAGGACAGTCGGAAAGAGAAACATTTTGATCAGAAATAAGCATTTTCTTGAATCCCGTATTCAGTCGATGGTGTACAGTGGGCAATATTTATCACCCACGTTCATCATTTGTTGTCGCATCAACAGCGAGATACGTTTAACCTTTGTTAAGATTGTGGTGCAGGTTCAGAATTTTTAATTAATTAATACAAATTGAGCAAACTAACACAAATGAACGAATTAATGTTCGAATAAACTACGACTTACTGTAGATTCGGTGTCACATTCGTCAATAGCTGTCTCAAAATAATAGCTCACAGCTCCGGAAATAGCGATACTTGTCGTCCCGGTACAGGTAGGGTCCGTCAAATGAAAATCGTTCGCATTTGCTGTTTGCAGACTTAGGGCTGTCAAAATCCACTGTTCTTCCAAATAAATTCCCATAACCTCGTTAGCGCAAGTGATATTGAATAAATCTGAAGATTAAAAGACACGTGCGTCATAACAACAACAAAAACAATGATATTCATAGCTATAATTTGGATAGAATTAATTTCAAAATATTGAACGATGGCCTGTAGGAACATCACTTCGCATATTTAGATATACGATTAGATTTATTAATATAAATAGACTAACTTTCATGATGACACGTGATTCCGTCTCCTGTAAACCCGTCATTACAGATGCAGTGACGTTGTCCTTCTACCACTCCACAGTGTGCATTGACATCACAATTCAATGTTTCACAGTGCATCAAATGATTAGTCTGGCACACACAGTATTCATCACAATTCCCATCTACATACACTTCCCCTGGCTGCAAGAAACAGTTTTTTTTTTTCAGTTTCATGAATACATTACTTTATGGAACATACGACATATCGAGTCATGATGTTTGAATATTACCTTAAAATATTGATTTTTGTACCAGCAGCCACATCTTTCTAATGGAACACACTCATGACCACTTCTTAGCAATCCATCCATACAGAAACACCCTTCGACACAATGTGGCGCGTCGCACTCAGTGAATGGATCTGCGCATGTCTTGTCACAACTACAGGTGCTATACGTCATACCCGCAGGGCACTTCAAAGCTGATAAAGAAAAAACAAAACAGTTAGTTATATTCTGAGAAAAACGCTACACAGAATATTGATGGCCACCAAACAAGAGGAATGAAGGCGTATCTATCATATTATCCGTCATAGTCCAGAACAAATATGTGAGTGATTCAAACAAACTTACGACACAATGTGTCAGTCCTCCAGTTGATGTTGATTCCGACGTTTGAGCAAGCCATAGCATAAGCTGCCACATCTTGACACACGATAGAAGTATCAGGTAGACTTCCACATACATCAAAGACACAAGCTTCGAAATATATTTTTGGGTCTATGACGTCATGACATTTTTCAAATAATAATCCTGAAAAGATATTCAAATCGGCTAATATGATGTGATGAGACTGGTAAATAGTACGAAAAGGGTTCGTTACTAGATGGGAACATCGAAGCAAAATTAATAGTATAATGCTAATTATATCATGTTTGTTGAATTCGCAAGTATTTTTAGTGGACGCATCTTACCCAACGATATAACACCACATAGATCTCCTGCAAGTGTTGGGTCTGGACAATCCAATGTGGGATCAACTCCAATTGTCAGTTGGCAATCGGTACCGATAGCGTAACTGTCTCCGAAATCATCTATGTTCAACGCCTTTGAATATAACATGATATATATTAGGCAATACTTGGCAATCGTTGTCATGAGTAACTACTCAAAATAGGAGATATTTAGGGAAATGTCATCACCACGGTAACGATACATTCACATATAACATAGAATCATATAATCAGGAAACATGAACAATGCAATCTTGTCATATTGTGTATCGATGACGATCATTGGAACGGTTATTTCAATGTAACTTACCGGAGTACCGTCCCACTTGGTTGTTGTATCATCGGAAAGGTCTCCATTGAAGTTTCCACACAGCCCACATGTATCATTCGCCCATGACGTACTCAAGTCGATTTCCCATCGATACTCACCGTCGAATCGAACAGTCACTCCAAGTATCGTATTAATAACCTATCAAAACAGATTCCCAATTATCCACTATACAGCAATTGTGTAAAAACTACACATATTTTTTTATTACATATTTCAAGACCCACTGAAATAACAATGTCTATGTGTGGCTGCAAACTAAAGTGTTCGTAATAACCTCGTGTCACATTTGTCAACAAAAGCCAAACAAAATATATTAGTAACAAAATGTATTAGTGCCTTAGCGGCAACCTAAAAGTGTCAACTTACTACATTGGTGCCATCAAATGTTACTGTTATTCCTGGTAGTGCCAAGTACGGTACGTTTACCGATAATAAACCATTGTCATGAACATATACATCGTGGTTGCGTTCAAGGGTCACAGTCTAACAATAATAAATACAAATCAAGTGAAAGTGAAATCACACAATAAAATAAATAAAATAAAGAAAATTACAATACTTTATAGGGAATCTGCACTGGA